TTTATTCACATTGTTTATATTTTTTTATTTAAATAGGATGGTAACTTCCACAATTCTCTATATCTTTTTGTATCTTGTCCGTTCTAGCCCTGAAGAAGACCTGCAAAGTCAGGTAGAAACGTTGGCTTTTAATAAAATAGTTTTGCCACTATTTAGTCTATTTCTGACCGCAACCTCTGACCATCTCCTTCCTTAATAATACAACGGTCAACTATTACGTATTCTGTATATAATTAGGTATATATCGTTGGTTTGTTCCAATCATTCAGTAACATTGTAGAAAACTAAATCTGTGAACATATATTTTTTAAAAATAATTTTTAACCTCGGTAAAAATTGTTATGTTTTATATAACATCAAATTTATCGGCCTGAGATTAGTAGTGATTAGTTAGGACTGTTAAAACTTAAATGAAGCTCTTGAAATATTGTGCTTACATTTGAAAAAAAAAATCTTTCTTAAAATATCATGTGATTTAAAAAACAACAACACTAATTACATAATTGGAAATACAGAAATGATTATAGTAAACTAAATTAATTAAACTAGGTTTCATTGATGTGTTACTGGTTTTTAACTCGTCTTTATTACAATGATTTATTTTTGTAAAACCCGAGAAGTTATTTTTGCCAAGATACAAACTCCTGTTGTAACACGTTGCAGGAACATGATATTAGAGAGAAAAAATAAATAAGTGCAGGTAATAGTTCACTGGTATCGTATGTCAGCCGATTGTGTGATCCCGGCTTTATTGTAAGGTTTCAAGTCGATACCGTATTATCTCCTTAACCTCTACTCCCTCAAACATCAGTTATTTATTATTAGATATTTTATATTATTTATTTATAAATATATTTATATTAAATTATTGAAAAATAAGTGTAACATTTTAAGTCGAGATTACATATTTAAATATGTGTTTCCTTATACAAGAATTCAATTTTAGTATCTTGATATAGAATATTGAAGTCATTTTTATATGAAATTAGAAATTATAATCAATATTATTATTTTTTTATTTTATTAATTAAAAAGAATTATTTTTGTATCTTGTGATTTTACTTCGAAATTGTTTTCCCATATTAATTGTAGTAAATATTTGTATTATTAACATACTTTTATGCATGAATAATTCTCCTTGCTTCTACCCTCATATACTCTAGTTGTGATAATTCATTTATTTTTTTTAAGTGAAAACCTCATTTGGCATATTTTGCAATTTTTTAGTGGAGATTGAATTAAATTGAGCCGTCGGATGTCCTATATGTAACACCTGGGTAAAGTCGGCTGTAGTCGACTAATTGAAATGTTTTTGCACATGGATTAAAATATCTCAAAAACTCGGATCTGCAAATTGTCAGCATGTTCATCATTTAATCCTCTTTGTAATGAACTGTTATTAAAAATTGAATCTTAACGCTACGACGTGTTAGAGAGGCGAAAAGAGAAACAATTGTGTCGAAAACCAAATGATAACAAGTTTTTTTTAGAAGAAATGGATTAAAATATCTCAGAAACTAAAAATCGGATCTGCATACTGTAAGTGCGAGAAATTTTCAGCATTTCTTCCTCTTTATAATGAGCTATTATTTATAATTTTTATTTAATATTATTAATCTCACCTTGATGTTTTCACTTCTATCGTGTGGTCTAAACACACCTAAGTTGTTTTTTTTTACTCTTTCATTGTTTACTGTAAAATAAAATAATTATACATTTGTGATTATGGCTAATTATCTAGTGAATTGTATTATCTAATTTGATATAAATTATACCTATATTTGCTTAGGATTTCTTATTATCGAAAACTGGACATCATCATCTTTTTTTTTTTTTTTTTAATAAATTCCTGACGTTCTAAGATCGTGGTATTATGCAGTCAGAGAAAATATAAGAAAAAAATAGTACTAAATAATGGTTCATACATTCTAGATTAAATAAAATAGTGGAAAGCACGACGTTTGTCAACCCAATATGTTGTTTAAACTAAATCAGATGTACTTAGTTATATTGTTGTTCATTAATAACTTTTGACATCTGGTAGTCATCAAAACTTTTAAAAAATAATCCTTGTCATGATTCATTTCCCTGTTTGTTACTTCATTTGCCTTGACATGTTTTATTTGTTCGCCCCGTTTTCCCAAAGTGTTCAAACTATGAACGATCTCATTCCCATGCTGATCCAATATCTCTCTGCCAGTTCATGAATTTTTAATGAGCGTAATTGATGTTGCCCGGTATTCTCGTTTTGTTCACAGGTAGCAGGTAATCTCCCGTGTAATTAGCCCGAAAACCTCCGGCAGTTGGAGTTAGATAACTGACGTAAATAGTTTTCCTAATGACGTAGAATTATTTTTTCTGAAGGTCTCTTTGGCCTTATTAGAGGATTAATACCTGATCTTTAAAAAAATGTCTTCCTCTTGCATTAGGAAATAATATTTTTTTTTTTCACTTTATGTTAAGAAATTCGAGTTTACAGCACTCATTCTGTACCTCGAAACAAAAACAGTTACTCCAAAACTCCGTAAGTTGATTGACATTTGATGATTGCACAAAATTATTCTGAGCAGAATATACATTATTTTTTTATCATCAACAAACTGGCTGCTAATTTAGGCGGAAAATACCCCTACCAGGATAATACGTGATTTTCATTTTCTTACAACTCAACGTTTATGAGCTAGGTATTGTAAAACAGAAAAAAACAACAACATATTTTTGTCAACTAATATAATTGTATTACATCCATTCTTGCTGCTCATATTAATACTATATATTTATTGTGTAGCAATCATATAATCATAATACTTGGTAAGAGATAGTACATGCATTTCCTACTATCGACGTAGGAATTTCAATACATACATTTTTTTTTATTCAATTATAATTAACTGTTTATTTATATATATTCAAGTAAAGTTTTTTTTTATATGAAATGAACTCATTCTATCCCTTTTTCGTTCTTCATTTCTCAAAGTGTATGTTTATGTTGTTCAACCCTTATATATAGTTTTGTTCATAGTTCAAGTGATTCGTTCATAGTTTTAATTGTTTTGTTCATAATTTTAAATGCTCTGTACATAGTTTTATCTATATTGTATATAGCTTGTGCGCCTAAGATTTTCTTTACTTTATATTTTATTTTATTTATTGTTTCAAACGTTTAGGCCAGTAATATTCTATTATTTTGTACATTATTGTTATTCTAAAGGGACTTAGTCCCAGAATAAAGTTTTTTTTTCTATCTATCTATCTATATATATATATATATTTTTTTTTTGTATTAGCATTACAGGCCATGTAAATCTTTTCCCGTCTTAACAAGCCTGCTCCATCTCTGCCAGTCTTGGGCAATTTCTTTCCATTTATCTGCATCTTTGTTGATTCTATCTATCCATTTGCTTTTTGGCCTTCCACGTGGTCTTTTCTATTGAGGCATTCATTGTCACATAGAGGCTTCCAGATGGATTGCTACGAACTACGTGCCCCACCCATCTTAACCTCCCTGCCTCCATATCATGGGATATTGATTGATCTGTTTCTGTAAGCAGTTGTTTATTGGTCTTTCTTCTCCATGTATTAGTACTCTGATTCGTGATCGCTCCGGTTTTCGTGCGGAAGACTTTACTCTTCTTTTAGCAATGCTGCCCATATACCGTTCCAAAAAAACTTATTGCATTTTGGAAGTATCAAATAATGTCAATTATATTACCTTTTTTTTCTCCCATCCCTACTTTATAAACATTAATAGCTTACGTCATAAATTAAAAAAAAAAACTATAAAGTCTGAGTCTTTAACATACAGATTATGAGTCATAACCATAGAAAACATATATAACCATAAAAAAAAAAAAAATACATTTGCTGTTGACATTTCACTGAGTCATCTTAATACATACTGATTAGAGTGCAACCAACGGGGTAGATTCTCTACAAACGTTGTCATGCCATGTATTTATCTGTTTCGCATGTACTGAATATGCATTTGTATACGGTTTTAAATTTGATGAAAAATAATATAAAAAAATACTTACTGAAAAAAACAGCTTTCATAAACACGGCAGAGTGGTGCTATACAGCTGATTATGGGGTGAGGAAAATATACCTACAGTAAACATGCCTAAATTATAGTAATATAAAAATATGTTAATTAAATTTAATAAAAAAAAAATATGAAATTTTGTATTTACATCGTGATCACTGTATGTCTTTTTTTGAGCCATGTATTTATTATAGTAATATTATTTATGGTAAAGATGTCATATACATTTTCGGTATATTTTTATTTCATTATTTTTTTAATTTTATTGTATTTAATTAACACATTTTTATATTATTATATTTTAGGTTTGCGTATTTTTTTCTTACATTTATCCTTGCTGATCAGCTGTTTAATATTACCTTCCTCTGAGTGTTTATGGAACTTTTGGCTTATTTCAGTATGTATATGGATGTCTTTAAGAGATGTCAATTGCAATATTTTTCTTTTCTGCTTATATATGATCTTGGTTTTTCTCTTTTGATGATGTCTGAATCAGCGAAATGTTGGTATGTTAGCTGTTCATCTGTATATTAGATACTTATGCTTTATAGTTTGGATTTTTTTATTTATATCGAATAGAGTGGATTATTATTTTCTTTTTGGGCTATATATCTATTTATGTAATTAATAGCTTACTTCCCAAAAGCAATCTGAAAACGAAACTATTCATGTCAGTAATGAAAATTTTGTTTTTTCTAAATTGTTCAGTTTTCTTGAAAATTACACATGCGTGTATTATGTTAATATCGGCCTCAACGCTTGCTGTGTGGAAGAATGCGTTTCTGTTGGGATTGGGCTTAAAAAGTTGAGAGACGACATGATGGGACTTGAAAGTAAGCCTCGTACAAAAAGCTTTCGATGATCGATTGTTTGCTCAGAGAATGCGATTCAGACTAAACTTCGCTGCCTATTCTTTTGATCGAAAAAACCCGTTTTGGTTAACTCATGCTCATTGTTGATGACCCTGTCAAAAGCGTTTCTGCTCTCGAAACGAGATAGGATGACTGGCCTGTTATCGCTGATGGATTTAGTGAAGCGAAGACGGGATCAGTTTCAACGTGAAAGCTACTCAATTATATTGCAGTTGATGGGCTTCCATGTTCCCCTTGTACGGCATATCACGTCGCAGGCATCTTATAGCCCATATAGTCTCGCTCGTAGTAACGGATGACCCATAAAATGATCGTAACCCTTACTATTTCTATTATGATAGTCAAGTACGAAGTACAATTTATGATTGGTTTTCTTAATAAATTTATTACTGGCATTAGTCTCACATCTATCTTTCAGTTAAACAAAGAGTTACATTGACAGTAACTATTACTGACATATTGGTTTACTGTTCAAAACCAACTAATCTAAATATATAATTCTGTTATATATTTCCTGAGGATTTTAAAGTTTTTAAGAAAAGAAAAGGAAATATTATTCTGGGACATTTAGTCACCTAAGAATAATTATAATCAACAATGATTTGGCATTACAAAAAAAGTCATGAATTAATTAATTTCATATCTATCTAATCCTAAAATTTAAATAAAGCAAACACAAGTAAACATATGCAATTATTTTTTTTATTATTATTTTATTAAAATTTACAAAGTAAATCTGCTATTAGAATATATAATATGAAGATACTTTTGAAGATGCTACCCATTGGTAACACTTGAAAGATAAATTAATTTAGGAGGTCCCTTGGCCATCTTCTTTTCAGACGCCTCGGAGGGTTGTCAGGAATTGTATTGGATGAAAGGAACAAACTAGAGGATTGGGGTGACCAAAGAGTTTGGAATTAAATGAAGTATATATAGTGTGGGCCAAGTCTTCCACAAGAGGAATGTTGAGGTCTTTATGAATAATTTTATTTGTTACGTAATAAAATTACATTTTGGATTTTACGGAGGATTTTGGATTGTAAGGATTGGATACAGGAAGAATTTGATGTTTTTGTAGAGCCCCAAAGCTGAATACCATATGTCCAAATGGGCCTGATGATGGTTGTGTAAATGAGTTTTTTGTATAATATTGGAAGTTGAGAGCGTTTGTCAACTAAGTGTTGTAGTAGTCGGAATATCTTGACAGTTTCTTGTCTTTTAAGTCTAGTATGAGGATATATGAAATTATAAATAAATATGTATAAGTGTGATATTGGCACTAATAAGCAACATAGATAATATATATGTACAGTAGACTCCCGCTTATCCTCGTTGGGACCGATACATCGCAGTCAAAAGCCGGTTAATAGACAGGGTATGAAATTTTAAAAAACTCGAATATTATTTCAACTTCTATATTGCGAAAAAATCAAAATACAATATAAAACTTAATCAATAAGGTAATATATATATATATATATATATATATATATATATATATATATATATATATATATATATATATATATATATATATATATATATATCAATTCAAGAAGATAACATTTTATCGCCAATTCATTTCAACGATTTACCAAAAGTACACAAATTAAAACCTCGACTAAAAGCTTTACAAGAAAATTTGTCATATCTTACGTCAGTAATTAGGCAGTATTTCTTCTTCATTTCTTTTTTCATTTTTCTATGAAATGAAGAGTAAGGATTTCGTTTCAAAAATCCTATATATTATTTCTAAAAGATGTTTTTTGTCGGTACGCCACAACTTCGTAAAATCTTCATCGAATCCAATGATTGACCACTCATTTTGAAGATATTCTTCTCCTTAACATGCGAAAAATAGTCCTATCCTCCCGAAATTTCTGGGGAAAAAGTTATGAAAGAACAGAAACTTTATTCGTGAAAAACCCAAAAAGTATGCATTTTTTTCTTCATTATACCCATGATAATTAGGAAGAATACCTACAAAAAAAAACCATAAAAATCGGACTATTATTAACAAAGATACAGTCCATTAGTTTTTGTATACTTAATAATAATCTTCCTGTTTAAAGATATTGCATTTAGGAGTAGAATAGTCTGCTACACTTTTTTTCCTAGCTGATATATTAACTTTATTAATTATTAAGGGCAATTAGTTGTTCTTACATTCCATTTTTTTTTTTTTAATAATTTAGAATCTATGGAAGAAATGGTACTCGCAATTGTTGAAAATTTTAATACATTCTACTGCTAAATAAACGTGTCTTTTTTATTATTGTTTTATTTTGGCCAGATGTAGTATTTTAATTATGTTCTATTTTGTTATTCTAAAGGGACTTAGTCCCAGAATAAAGTTATTTTCTATTTCTATTTCTAAAACTACTCGGAATAAGCTTCACTAAAATTTTGAATGAGAATAGTAAATTAGTAGTGTAAGTTAGGTTATTCTCATTGAATAATATTTATTTAAATTATTTATTCCTAGTATGAACAAGAATTAAGATTCCGTCCCGTTATTGGCTTTTGAAAAGATTTATTCTTATCCTTGAGGAAATTAATTATTGAATATATTTTATCAAATTAAATTTTAAATACTTTTTTTAGCAATATCACATGGATATTATTTTTTTAATCTTAAAACGAATAAAAACACCTCTGAAATTGAGAGGAACACCGAAACATAAAGTTCCAATTGAGCTTCAAAAGGAACAAACTAAATCACAAATGTGACATTATTTTTTACTGTCTGTGCGCAAACCTCTTTTGAAGTGAAAACTTCTATAGACTAGTTTTGCACTTTTTTGTAGAGAGTGAATTAGATTGAGTCGTCAGATCTCCGCTCAGCCATAAGATCAGTGCGGGGGCAAATTCGGCTGGAGTCGACTATTTCAGGCGTTTTTGCATATTCATTAAAATATGTCAAAAAATAAATATCGGTCCTACATATTGTTAGAGAATGGAAATGTTCATCATTTCATCCTCTTTGTATTGAGCTATTGTTAAAAATTCTATCTTAATGGGAGGCCATGTTAGAGACGCGAAAAAGGAATAAATATTATCGAAAACCAAATTATAACTAGTTTTATAGCAGGTATGGATTAAAATATTTCAGGAACTAAAAATCGGACCTGCATACTGTAAGAGAGGGAAATGTTCAGCATTTTGCACTTAGCAAGACCAAGACCAAGACTGGAAAAAAAAAATGATTTTTTAAATAAAAATTAAAGCAAAATAGTTATTAATACTTGACAATCTTAGTTACTATATGTTAATAATTATTATAACAAATAAACTTTTGCATTTAACTCCTATAATTTTTCATTCGGGCTTAGTTAGGTTTCTCCGATCTAAAAAATTACAATTATATCTCTATAGGAATAAGCTAATAAATAACTGCAAGACTGTTGCGAGACTCTTGCGCAAGACCAAGACTCGTCTCGATCTTGCGCAAGAGTCTCACAACAGTCTTGCGTTTACTTATTAGCTTATTGCTATAGAGATATAATTGTAATTTTTTAGATCGGAGAAACCTAACTAAGCCCGAATGAAAAATTAGAGGAGTTATATGCAAAAGTCTCGGTCTTTCATTTGGGCAACACTACTTGTTATCATGTAATTTATAGCGCACTCCTTAGTTTTTTTTACTTCCCGCACGAATACCTAGCTTTCCTACCTTCGGTAAGGATGAAACAAAAATAAATAATAATTTTGTGTTTTGTTCAGAAACATTTGAACGAATTAATTCCTCGTACATTTTATAATCAATACTTTTCAGATAGCTTGTTTTCTTCTGGTATCCTATCGTCTGATAACCCTGATTGCCTCTTCCAATAAGATCCATGGCTATCTAATTTAGGCAGATAATACTCCTATTTCCGCCTCCTTAATGGAACTTTATCTTCAGCTTCTGGTCGGCTATCGGCTCATGGTAAAGTGGTGAAGTAGAAAGTACCATCCATTGTGCCGTAATTGGGGGAATATCGGAAAGCAGCGGATGATGGGGGCGCATCATAAGCGGTTATCACGACTCGCATCCCACATCCCACACCCCTTGTTCTCTTCTTCCAGCTTATGCCCCGCGCTTTCTCCTTTCATCCCCTGGCTTATTGAAGTACTGATTGAATTCTACGTCGGTATAAGCTCCCGTACAAAGTATGACTCGGCCATCTTTTGGGTTTCTCCGATTTAATTGATTATTAGTATACCGCCATTGAAAACCCTCACGTTCTCCTTCATGATAATTCCCCTTTATCCATTTGTCGTATAAGCAACACCAGTGAATGTTTATGCGTATGTCCAATTTCATATTACCAAGTCTGTTCAATAAACAGTTTCATACTCTACCAAGTCTGTTAAATACAAATTTTCTTATTATGTGGTTAACTTGTCCCACTAGAAAATATCCCTCCAATTTTATAGGTAGGCAATAAGATAAACCTATCTCTGAACTTTGAACCTACAATCCATTAATTGAATCAAGTGAAAACAAATCATATGTTTGTTTGGTGTATAAGACAATTTACGCTCTCTCACTTACTAAAAAGTGTATTACTGTAAATACAGAACCTATACCTACATATTATTTTCATGTATTAAAAATATCAAAAAATTCTTTTTGTATTATCTGAGGTACCCAAGATATCATAAGGCTATTCTGCTCTATTTATCTTTCCTATAGATTTTAAGTTTGTCGAATACTATCATGAATAACAATATTTCAGCTTTTTAAAGGTGATATCAACTATAAATATCCCATGTTAACCACAGCAGACTTCCGGAATCCTTATAACTTCACACAAAAAATAAATTAAATAGCGTGATCATAAGTGGTGAATTCTCAAAAAAATAAACAATATCGTTCTCGTCCTATATCACAAATAACTATTTGCTTTTTCACTATAAAATTTAAAAAAAAATACATTGGTGATCCTCAACAAACAATTTTTAAAATCAACAAATTAAAAAAAAAAATGTTATAATTCATTGTATAAAAATCCTGCAAATGGGCTGCAGCGCACCTGTCGAATTTCATATATTAGTTGTTAGTTTTCTTGATTAGCTTCATTTTGTATTTATTATAGCAGGTCCCTCGGCCATTTTATTTTTAATCTGCATCGATCAGATAACAGGGAACAGGAAATAGAAAGGACTAATGGATTGAAGTGATTTAGAATTGTAGAGTAAAACGAAGTGTATTTGCCGTGCATGTAGGATTTTATTGTTGGGATGTTCAAGTCGTTATGTATAGTGTTATCTGAAATTTACGAAGGTGCGTTGAACATTTTTCGTAGAATTT